CACTCAGGAATTACTCCTGGTGGTTCTCAAGGAACCATATGGGATCCTGGGAATCGAACCTGGTTCAGCTGAGAGCAAGGAAGTGCCCTATCTATTATCTCTCCGGCTCCTGTTTTTACCTTTTGGAGTGCTAAGAAAAGTTGTTTGAGTTAAGCAACTTGATCTAACAGGGATTCAAAAGCAGGCTGTTTGCTAGGAAAAGCTCACATAAGTAATTGTATCATACCATCCTGGCTCAGAGAAGCTCCTTGGACTAGAGGGATATTTGACTTGGGCTTTAAAGGATATGTAGGAGCCTATTTTCACCCACCCTCCACTTACTGCAGTGTAGTAATGAAACAGTTGTGGACTTGAATCTCACCACCACCATGTTCCCAGCTTGTATTTATATTCTCTGACCTTTAGTTTCCTTAATTGTGAAATGGAGACAATGAAAACTGTTCTCTGAAATACCATGAGGAACTGCTAGGTGTCTGGTATGCAGTGTGGGAGCTTGGGGGTCAAGATTGTGGACAGATGGGGCTGGAGAGATAGTACAGTGGGTAGGGCGCTTGCCTTGCACGCGGCCGACCTGGGTTCGATTCCCAGCATCCCATATGGTTCCCTGAGCAACGCCAGGAGTAACTCCTGAGTGCAGAGCCAGGTGTAACTCCTGTGCATCGCCGGGTGTGACCCAAAAAGCAAAAAAAAAAAAAAGATTGTGGAGCGATGAGTATAATGCTAACAGCTAGTCCCTACAGAGACTTTGCAAAGATTATTAAGACACTTTATCCCAGACATTTTGCAAAGGTTATTAAGTTGCCAGTGATTCTATGAACAGGTTTGCTAATTAGACACACCTTACAGGTATGCTAATTAGACACACCTTACAGGTGAGAAAATAAATTACAATAAGGGTAAGGAAATTACTCTGAGTTGATAAGTGACAGGCAGAATTGGGATCCAGGCAGTGTGGCTCCAGAGTTTGTAGGCAAATCCCTCACTCTACTCCCTAGACTGCAGATGGCAGAGTTGAGTTTGGACCTTAGGTTAGGGAGGGTGTCATCAAAGGAGGCTTTTTTTTGGGGGGGGTCACATCTGGCGATAATCAGGGGTTACTTCATGCTCTGCACTCAGGAATTACTCCTAATTTCCTAATAGTGTTTCAGAGACCATATAGGATGCTGGGAATCAAACCCAGATCTGCCATGTGGAAGACAAACATCCCACCTGCTGTACTATCCTCCGGCTCAAGGGAGACTTTTGGCAAGCACCATCTTGTCCTTTGAAAAGACTACTCCTTATATTGTGGCAATCATAAACAAACACAGAATACCTGGCTTCTTTAGGAAATCAGGACCCTTCAAAAGCCATGCTAGGGGTACAGGAAGCTACTGGGCTTTGCACATGCACTCCTTCTGTAAGTTATTACTTCATGCCAGGTGTTGTTCTGTTGGGAATATAGTCATAAATGAAATAAAACAAAAATACCTGCCCCGATGGAGTTTATGTTCTAGTGAGGGGAGACAGACAATATGCAGATAAATAAGAAAATATAGAAACTAGAGAGATAGTACAGTGGCTAACGTTTTTGTCTTATATGAAGCTGATCCCAGTTTGATCCCTGGTGCTTTGTATGGTGCCCTGAACATGCCCAGGAGTGATCCCTGAGCACAGAGTCAGTGTAAACCCTGAGCACAATCAGGTGTGGCCCCAAAACCATAAAAAAAAATAGAGAAAATATGTATCAGAGGGTTAGAATGTATTGATAGATAACGGTGGAGAGAAAGTGGGGAGATGAGATGAGCTGGAATAGCGTGCAAACTTGACTAAGGTGGGCTTGAGGAAAACTTCTGAACAAAGTGGTGTTTGACCAAAGAGACGGAGGAGGTCAGGAAATGGGAGTAGCAAGAATTTTGAGGGATGAGTGAGGGACAGAGGGAGAAGAGTGCATGCAAAGGCCCTGAGGCAAGAATATGTTTCATTCATTTAAGGAACAGCAAAGAAATTAGTGTGTCTGAATGGAGAGAAAAGGGGAGAGTGTAAGAGATGAAGTTAGAGGAATATGTGTGTAAAACACATCAGCTCTCTTCACGGTCAATGTTTTATAAAAACAGGCAGGAGAATATAGGATGCAAAATGAGCACTCATTTCAACCTCGGATGATGAAGCTTGAATGCAAAGTATATGTGGACCTCTTGCAAAAACATCCTGATTCTCTCCTCGTGTAACCCTCTTCCAGATTTGCACTGCACATTCCTATGGGTGACACTGGGATGAAACCAAGAAACAGGTGTGAGTGATGGAGACCAGGCTTCAGAGAACAGGCTCTGGATCAGAGCCTCAGACCCCCAGTAGCTCAGGGCTCTGTGGAGGAGAATGTCAGGGCTGCCTCTGGAGATCAGGGTGCAACTCCTTAGTGAGACATGAAAGACTGTCAGCTCCTCAGGTCTTCCTCAGGCTGTGCTCATGCTACATCTGGTGCTGTTAAGCCAGCATGGGGCCTGCCACAGACAATCACCACAGGGAGGGACTATTTGCTGATTCAAATCAAATTTGATAAATCCTAAGGTACACCTGAGAGAACAGGAGCATCTTGAGTTAACTTCTTTGTTTCAGGGCAATCTGAGGTTCCATTGATTTTTTTTTTTTTTTTTAAGGCTTGAACCCGCTTTGAACTGGTTTCTCTTTTGGTTCTTTTTCAGGTAGGCTGGGGTGGGGGGTGGGAGGGAGGTTGGAAGGGACTTTGGCTCAGGTCATGAGTTCCTGAAAAACTAACTCTGGGTTCAGATGAGAGTTCAACCAGGTGGTTCAGTTTGTTTTTGACTCTAGTGTCTATCCGGGGAGCTCCCTACAGGCTGTTATTATTTTTAACCAACAAGTTAGTCACTAAGGAGATGAAATGACTGCATTGTAGCCTGCAGGGTGACAGGGACAGTAGTGACAACAGTCTCCACTGAGCAGGACCTGTGTTATGGCGAGGACCAGTAATGGCCCACCCATTTCTAGAAATGAAACTGAAATTTGGGGATTTCAGGGATTTCGTGCTGCCCTTAAACAGTCTGATTCTCGAGAATGTGCTACATGTCTCTTTTAAAAACGTCCCAAGAGCAGCACTCAGAGAGATATCGAATATTAAAAGACTGAATTCCATTCCCTGTACCCCAAGGTCCATCAAGTAATTCCCTTACCTCCTGGACACAGCTAGTGGTTCCCATCCATCTACCAGCACTGCAGGGTGTGGCTCCCACGCAAAAATAAAATAGAAACAAACAAACAAACAAGTTTCTAGGCAAATATGAGCAATCTGCGACAGGACTGGGAGAGGAAGAAGTTGCCATCCATGCAATTAGTCATTTGGTTTGTTCAACATTCTGATGTGTGTTAAGTAGTAGGATGTGGAGAAGGAACTCTGTCTGATCCTCCTGGGACTCACTAACCTGGGAAGTGGGGAGGAGCAGCTGAGTCAAGTATGAGCAAAAGTCAGGAGAAGGAAACAAACAAGTGTTTCCAGAGGGGGTGACTTTCCCCCCAGGCGGTCTACAGAAGTAAACCCAGACGAGGTGAGGTGTTCAACTCCAAGTATCTCAGCTACTGCCTACTTTTTTTGAGGTGTGTGTGTGTGTGTGTGTGTGTGTGTGTGTGTGTGTGTGTGTAGGGGGGGGAACTTCTAAGACATTATGCTTGACCATGACATATTAAATATGACAGCAAAATCCCAGGCAATGAATGAAAAACTAAGTTGAACTTGGAAAAAAAAATCTTTTTCTGTCCATTAGAGGACTTCATTAAGAGAATGAAAACATAATCCACAGAAGAGGAGAAAATATTTTTCTGTCTACCTTTTTCCCCAGGTTGAAGATCACCTATATAAACATTGTTACTGTTAAAAGGTGAAGTCGTGGGACTGGAGAGATTGTACAGCTAGTTAGACACAGCGGGTAAGAAGCTTGCTTTGCACACAGCAGACGGGGGGTGGGGTGGGGGGGGGAGGGTCTGGGGGGGGAGACGGGACGGGGGAGTTCGGCTGGGACATCGCATGTGGTCACCTGAGCCCGCCAGGAGTTGATTCCATAGCACAGAGCCTGGAGCTCTGAGCACAGCTGGGTGTGGCCCAAGCCCCCTCCTCTCTCTCAAGAAAAAAAAAAAGACCTCTTACTAAGGGAAAAGGATAACAGGAAAACTGAGTATCCAGGGTTGCATAGAGCACACACGCAGATAGTTCTGATGCAAATTCAGTGGGGGTTGGGGTGAAGAGAAAGAACCCCGACAACGCTTTGGAGTTTTCTGCAGCCTTTAGGCACTGGGGTTTTAGTTGAAGGCTGTCTCTGTAGCCTCCGCAAGGCGAGAGATCCAGTCCATAGTTTATCGCCCCAGGCCTAGCGCAGAGCCCGGAACACAGCAGAAACTCATAAATAACTTGTTCGTCCCAAGACAGAAGAGACGGAGAGTCCAGGGAAAAACGAAGAAATCAGAGCGGGGGGGGGGGATGAGCGGGGGGAAGAAAAAGGTGTTGCTAAGAGAATGCAAACTTTCCGAAAAGTTGTCCTGTGCGAAACAGCTTCGCCTAACACAGTTAGGGAGGTGGCCGCTGAGGAAAAGAGCGAAGAATCCCGAGAGGCTGCAAGGAGGAAAGATGGCAGGAGACACAGCCCCATCTCCTCCAGCCGGCAGAACGCATGAGGTCACCTGGAGCCGCGCCAGCAGCAGCTGCGAGGACACGCCCGCGCTGCGGAGGGAGGCGGTGTCAGGCTCCGCAGCCCGGGGAGTTCCCCGCCCGTCTCTCGTGGAGGCGTGGCCCGGAGCCCCGCCCAACGCCCGCCGGGCGGTCCGGACGTCCCTCAGGCCACGCCCCCTAATCAGCCTTCAGGCACAGGAATGGTCGGTTCTCCGAGCCCGCCCTACACCACGCCCCGGAGCTCCGGTCGGGCCATCCCATTTCCTCCGGAGAGCCCCGAGACTTTCAGCCTTGGCCCCACCCCCAGAGAAGCCCCGCCCCGTGCCCCGCCCCGTGGCTTGAAGCCGCTGGAGCAGCGGCCGCTTGGGAGTCGCGCGCTGGGCGTGAGGCGGTGCTGAAGAGCCGGAGCTGAACGGAGCTCGACGCCCGGACTGTCCAGAAGGCACGCGCGGCGCGAGCCCGCACCGGAGACCCCCGAGAGCAGCCGCCGCCAACCCCAGCGCCGTTCGCGGAGCGCAACAGATCTGGCCATGGCTTTGTCGATGCCGCTGAACGGGCTCAAGGAGGAGGACAAAGAGCCCATCATCGAGCTCTTCGTCAAGGTGAGCGCTCGACCGCCGTCCCGCGTCGCCGAGCTGGCGCCGTGGGGCCGCGGGGGGCGGTGTCCCGGGGCGCGGGGCGCGGGCGAAACCCGGGCACCCCCGCAGCGCCCCCCGCGCGGCGCCGGGCACCCCCGGGGCTGAGGGAAGCGCCGCTCGCGCGCCCCCGGCCCATTGTCTCGGCCCACCCGCGCTTTCCCGTTCCCGGAGGTCCCAGAAGCCGGGGTGGGACCGGCCCCCACAGAAAGCCAGCGCCCCTGGCGTCGGTCCTCGCCTCCGGCCGCGCCGACCCAGCTCGTGGTCCCGCGTCACCTCCTCGGTCCCTGGAAGCCCCCAGCCCCAGGACCGGGGGAGGTTGGCACCCCCGCCCCAGGTGCGCGCCCCCCGACTCTTCCCGCTCCCTGGCGCCCCGAAACCCTTCCGCGCGGAGCCGCAGCCCGGAGCCAGCCCCAGAGCGCCGGGCAGAACTCGCGGAAAGAACGTTTCGCTGCCCGTGGCTATGAAACTGGAACTTTTAGATTTTCGATGCTGTGTTCAAAAAAATTAAAAAAAAAAAATCCAGAAAGGAGCCTCCGGAAAAGCCCGAGATTCCCCGCTTGGGGTTTTCCTGTCTGAGGTATTTTACCACCATCTGGTTTTCTTGTTTCTCAAGCGCCCAGTGTTGCGTCTGATGCAACCTCCTGGCTGCTCCCCGCGGCGGTGCTGCCGGGGCAAGGATTGGGTCTGCCGCTCGCGTCCGGGAAGAAAAACGGATGCGGGGGAGAATTCTTACTGGAGTTCTCCAGGGTTGATTCCCGGCTCTGGCCAATTCAGTTTTAAAATCCTGAGCTACCCGATTGGCAGACTAACAGTAGTCCGGTCTTCCAAGCCTCCACCCTACCCACCGCGTTTATGTCTTTGGTTTCAGCGAATGAGAGCAGTTAGGAACATCTGGATCCAGCAGCCTCCTTCAAAACTTCTGTAAAATCCTTGACGCTTGCGTCAGCAGGCTTGCTCAGAGCTGTTTTCGGAGCTGGAAAGTTAGCAGGAGTCTAGACCAAGTTTTTCCCTGCGTTTTTGTTTTGAAGACCAGAAGGCACCGAATTAGGTGTATTTGAGAGAGGAAAGAAGGGATCAGCAAAAGATAAAAATGTTTTAGTTTTGTTTTTCATACCCCCCCCTCCCACTTAGCAGTTTCAGCTGAGGACCTTAAATAGCAGGCAGGCATAGAAAGAACCCCAAGACTGCGGAGTTTTGGTTACTTTGGTAGATGGAGTTTTTTGAATTGCAGAGACTGTCAGAAGGAACCCTGAAATAAGAGAAAGGTAAAAAGTAGAAGAAGGCAACTTGGAAAAAGGAGTCAGAGATTATCGCTCCGTAAACTCAAAAATAGTGTATCTACTAAAAAAAAATCTGTAAAAATATGATACTTAATAGTGAAACTAAGGGAGTAGCATTAAATTTCGAATTAGATTACAAATACTTTGAGTAATGGCTTTTTTTTCCAGCATTGTATGAAATGCTCCATGCCAAACCAATAAAGGCATGAGAAAGAAATGAAGCATATGAGAGGAAGATCACAGTGCTCTTAATTCTCTACTTAATGAGGATTTAACTCTTTAATTAGGAGTACAGAATGGTGCATTGTTTCCCAAATTTAAATAATGTGCATGCTCCTTCCTAATTTTCCTATTTGTATTGAATTAATCTTATTTGCCAGATACACTTAACTTAAAAAATTCCAAAGGTTAAAAAAAATTATGAAAATGTGATATTGCAAGGAAATAGTAACAGGGAACTATTGGTGTAGTTATTACGACTATATTTCTTACATTCGTAACCATTATTTTTTTGTTTCTTGGGGGGGCCAAACCCAGGGGCTACTTTTGGGGTTCTGAGCTCAGGACTCACTCCTGGCAGACCTCTGGGGACCATATGTGGAACAGGGAGTAGAACCAAGTTCGGCTTCATGCAAAGCAAGCGCCCTAACCCCTATACTATCTGTGGTCCAAAGGCATACTGCTTACCATTCTAGCTGTTTTTCTCACTGGACTTCATGGCAGAGAACCAGGTTTAAAATCACATCTTTTTTTTTTCGGTTATACTTGTGATGCTTAGGGGTTACTCCTAGTTTTGTACTCAAAAATTACTCCTGGCGGTGATTGGGAGACCCTGTGGGATGTTGGGATCAAACCTGGCTCAACCATGTGCATGGCAAACACCCTACCTACTGTACTATTGCTCCGGCCCCTAAAGTCAGTTTCTGTTTTTGTGTATCGAACCCAAGTCTCATACATAGTAGGCATGAACTTGGTTACTAAACCACATCCTGGTCCTCGAGCACAGTTTTGTAGTTACTTATTGGGTTACTCTGGTCAAGTTCTTTTTGTGAAGTAAGAGGAAAAATGTTTTCTGCTGTTCTGTGATTCAGCATAGGTATAACTTGGTATTGCTATAAATCAGGACCGTTGTTTCAAAAGTTAAAAAAAAGAAGGTTAGGTAAATTGTGGTGTCAAGAGTATCCTGTATTTCTCCTGAAAGCTTTTGTGGCAAATGCATGTAGTGGAAAATACCCTTTTCACTGTATCACTGTCATCCTGTTCGTCAATTTCCTCGAGCAGGCACCAGTAACATCTCCATCCTAGCACTGAGATTTTAGAAAGTGCCATATTCGAGGCTCTTGCAGAGTCTGGGGAATGATACCCATCATTGTTACTGGGTTTTGGTATATCGAATACGCCACGGGGACTTTGCCAGACTCTGCCGGGCAGGCAGAATACTCTCAGTAGCCTCCCTGGCTCTTCAAAAGAGTAAAAACTAGATAATAAGAGGATGCGGCTGCGGGCTTCCAGGAGCTGGGTTTTATAGTCTCTGGGTCTTGGAAGTTAATGGGGTAACACGGCGCTGGGGGCTGTTGGTGTGCATACCTACTAGAAGATGGGGGATCTGGATGGAGGAGGCCCAGTTCCAATCCGAGCAGGCTTGGTGATTTCAGCCCCGGGTCCCACATGCCTGGGTTCCTCTGCTGGTTCCTTCATGCGTGCGGCTCATCCAAACGCGTGGAGAATGGTCTTAAGCATGACTGTGGCTGGTTCCAGAGGTCTTCGGCTGCTGAGGCTCTGCTTTGGGAGGGGAGGGAAACTCAATCCGCTCCCCTCCTAGGGGCCCCGGTAAGGACAGCCAGGGCAGGAGACTCTGCCTTTTTAAATGTATTTAGAAAGTGAGAGGGCAGGGACCAAGGAGATGACTTAAAGGGCTGGAGCATATGCTTTGTATGTGGGAGCCCCAAGTTGATCCTTATCACCACAGTGTCAGACAGCTGCTGAGTTTGGGGAAATAAAGTACCAGGGTAAGGTCATGGTTGTCTAGGTTGTTGAACAGTATTATTGTGTCAAGATGTATCTGAGTTTGTAGCAGAAAACTGAACAAATGTAAAGGATATTTAACATAACTGGTGTAGGTAGTTTTAAATGTGTGAGAAGGCATGCTGGAGAGATAGTGTAGGAGTTTAGGCCCTTGTCTTATACCATACTGGACCTGGTTGTATCTCTGACACCATGTGTGGTCCCTTGAGCACTGACAGGGGTCGCTTCTGAGTACAACCGGCCATAACCCCTGAGCACTGCCAGGTGTGACCCAGATCAAAAACAAAAAACAAACATAAAAAAGAGAAATTGGCTAGGATCTTCCCAACTAGTGTGGTTATACTCAGCTACTTTTTCTTCCTTGTTTTTAGAGTTGTCTGCTTATGAGCCCAATGACTCAGATTAGCTGTATGGTAGCAGTTCTTTATTTCTGCTTTGTTGACTCCCAACACCTAGAGGATGGGTCGTAAAAGAAGTATACAAAGGTCATCATCTTTAACAGTGTCATCATCAGGACCCAGGCAGATGTATATATTTTGACGTACAACTCCCAGTGGAAACCACTGACCAATAGAGTGAAGTTCAAAGCCTGTAACAAGGGTATGAGGTTCCTTATTATCTGACTGCTGTCTGGGTTTCTAATCCAATTTGTCCACTTACTATTTGTGTGTCCCAAGACACATTACTTAAACCTCTCTGTGACTCACTGCACAGTTGGGATATTAATAGACTAATCTCTTGGGAATAAACTAGTTAATGTATGTGGTATATAATAAACTCAGAACATTGTCCCACAGAAAGCAAAGAAACACTTATTCTGTGCCATTTTACATACATATATTTATATGCAGATCTCTCCAATTAGACAATAACTTCTTTTGTTCTGCTTGACTAGGATATAAGAGGGTACGAAGTATGGGAAATGAGATGGTTTCCTTCTTAGCTTTTTGCTGTCACTACATGGCCTGTCATGTATTGAAATTGGGAGCTACTTATTTATTTATTTATTTTTAATTATTTTTCTTTTTTTTTCTTTTTTTTAATAGTGAGACATCATAAGGTACAGTTGCAGACTTACACATTTTTGTGCTTGGGTTTCAATTATACAGTGATCAAATACCCATCCCTCCACCAGTGCCCATTTCCCACCACCACGGTTTCCAGTATCCCTCCCACCCCCAACCCCCCCATCCCACCCTGCCTCTGTGGTAGGGCATTCCCTTTTGTTCTCTCTCTCTTATTGGGTGTTGTGGTTTGCAAAAGAGGCAATGGGTGACAATCATGTTTAGTCTATAGTCTACTTTCAGCATGCTTCTCCCATTCTGGGAGGATCCTCCCAACACCTTTATTTGGTGTTCCCCTCTCTATCTGGGAGCTACTTATTTAGATCCTGGATATCGGAATGAACCTTGGTCTTTTGTAGAATTTTGCCTAACTTTAAAATTTCTTGTGATTTTTTTTTTTAATTTTAATACCCTCTACCTCCCTGAAGCCATTATTTTATACGTCTAGTCCTTCTATATATCTACTGTATTTTCCACCATTATTTCTTCTTGGTGATACTCAAATTTTGGGAAACATTTCTTTGTGTTTGTTGGGTAAAAGTAAATATTAACTGTTAAACCACAAATGAGAGAAGTTAGGAAAGATAGGGTTTAG